GGCTCACTGCAGCCTCAATCTTCCTACCTCAGCCTCCCAAGTGCTGGGACAACAGGTGTGTGCCACTATGCCCAGCTAATTTTTCATATTTTTATAGAGACAAGGTTTGCCATGTTGCCCAGGCTGGCCTCAAACTCCTGGCTTCAAGCCATCTGCCCCCCCTTGACCTCTTAAAGTGCTGGGATCACAGGTATGAACCAACATGCCCAGCCAAAATCTACTTATTTAATAAAAATCTTTAACAAAATAAAATTTTATTAACTTTGGGCCTCACGTTTTACATTCACTATCTAAACCCGTTCATACATACCTTCTATTTTGTATCCTTTAACCTACATCTCCTTTTCCTCTTCCCTCTCACTGCTGTGGCAAACACTGTTTTATTCTATATACCTGTGTATCAGAGCTCTTTCTTTTTTTTCAGATTCCACATATAAGAGAGATCATGCAATATTTTTCTTTCCGTGTCTGTCTTATGTCACTTATCATAATGTCATCTAGGTTCATCCACATTGTCCCAAATGGCAGGATCTCCTTTTTTAAGGGTGAATAATACTCCATGGTGTATATACATACATGCATACACACACACACACACACACACACACTCTCAATATTAACAATCACATACACACCACAATTTTCTTTATCCATTTGTCTGTCGGTGGCAAATTTCCATCAATTGATAAGTGGATAAACAAAATGTGGTAGAGCCAAACAGAATAATATTCAACAATAAAAAGAAAGAAAGTACTGACATGCTGTAGCATGGATGAACCTTGAAAATATGTTAAGTGAAAGAAGCTAGTTACAAAAGACAACACATCATATGATTCCGTTTATAAGAAATGTCCAGAATAAGTAAATCCACAGAGACAAAAAGTAGATTCGTGGTTGCCTAGGGCCAGGAGAAATGTGGAATATGGAGATTAGGGGTGACAACTAAAGGGTATGGAGTTTTGTGGGGAGTTAAAAGTGTCCTAAAATTGATTGTGATGATGGCTGTGTAACGCTCTGAATATACTTAAAACTCATTAAATTATACACATTAAATGAATGAATTGTATGCTTTGTGAATTATATCTCAATAAAATTACTTTTTAAAAAGATTATTGCTTATTGGAGCCATCATTCTGTATTCAGACAGAAAGAAGAAAATTAAGGGAAATGATGGTGGGTGGGGCAAAAAGTAATGAGAAAGCTCGGTGGAAAAGATACGAAAAACAGAATGCAGGAATATTAATTATTTTCCTTTGAAAATGACAAATTCATAGTGTAATGATAAATAAAATTACTACTTTCAATGCCCACATTTTTCAAAGGAAACAAGCCTGGGAGTAACAAAAGAGCATGAGACTTCGGAGTCTTGAGACTACTCTTGTGAGCCATGTGTTAAATTGCCAGAACCTCTGTTTCTTCACTATAAAATGAAGTCCTACAATCCCGATATCATAAAATGTTCAAATTCACAGTAGGTACCTGTATTAATTAGGGTTCTCTAGAGGAACAGAACTAATAGGATAGATGTATGTATGAAGGGAAGTTTATTAAGGAGTCTTGATATCACAAGGTGAAGTCCCACAATAGGCCATATGCAAACTAAGGAACAAGGAAGCCAGTCTGAGTCCCAAAACCTCAAAAGTAGGGAAGCCGACAGTGTAGCCTTCATCTGTGGCCAAAAGCCTGAGGGCCCCTGGAAAACCACTGGTGTCCAAGAGTCCAAAAGCTGAAACACTTGGAGTCTGATGTTCAAGGGTAGGAAGCATCCAGCATGGGAGAAAGATGAAGACTGGAAGACTCAGCAAGTCAAGTCCTGACAACTTCTTCTGCCTGCTTTACTCTAGTCATGCTGGCAGCTGAATAAATGGTACACTCTCAGTTTGAGGGTAGGTTTGCCTCTCCCAGTCCACTGACGCAAATGTTACTCTCTTTTGACAAAACCCTCAGATGCACCCAGGAACAATACTTTGCATCCTTCAAACCAATCAAGTTGACACCCAATATTAACAATCACAGAACCCAAGAAACATTAGCTATAATTTTTTAAAAGCAATTCAGCCCTAAAAACAAACTTGTAAATTCCCAAATCAATACATTAATAGCATTAAGGAAGGGACAAATTTCTCTTTGCCAATTCCAGACAGCCAGACTAAATTTTTGCCTTTATGGTCAGCCAAGATTCCTACAACCTTCTCTCTCTGTTGTTTGTTTAGCAAAGTAGCACTAAAGAAACCCATACTGAAAACACAATCTTTACCTTGACAGAATTGGAAGGTAGACAGAATCCACCCTTTTAATCTTTCATTGATGTCTAGGATAAATAATTAAGCAGCAATAATTCTAAACTTAACCTGATGCAAGCAAAGACAAAAGAATTTCATGATTACAACTTTCAAGATGAAAGAGTTCACTTTCAAACCTAAGAGGGGAAAAAGCTACTTATTTTACAAAGGCAAAGTGGGGAAAGCCCTGCAAAATCCAGTTTTGGGTACTTTTCCAACTAAGGTTATTTTCTTAAAGATAGAGTTATTCAATTTATTCTCTTATCTTTATTAATTTGTTTTATTTCACCAAATTAGGCTGTCTTTCCATATACCTAATTATATTCGATACTTAAGGATCTAAAGAGTAACAGATAGACAAATCATTACCAAATGCTACCGGGAAATGGATTTATAACTACGCCGAATGTTTTCCTTCTTGAAATCTTGGCTACATCACGCTTCACACATGATATCAATTAGAAAACAAAATAACTGGCTTCACAGAATACAAGCTGACCTCTGTGACTAGCACTCTGGACGCAAAACAAAACAAAAGATGAGCCCCAAATTAGTAAATGCAGCATGGCAAGAGCCGGGAATACCAAGTATACTTTATGACTGTAACACACATCACAGGACATAACAGCAGCAGCTTCACAAGTAATGAACACACACACACACACACACACACAGCTTGGAAAGCCTTAAACAAAACATAAAGATATATTACTACCATCATCAAGCCTCAGAGGAAAATAGATTATATCTACTTATTTAGATAAACACAAAGCTATTCATTACCAAACATTAAAAAAATTATCGTCGAAAGTAACAGTAATACAGTCACTTTCAACAAATTCCACAATTCTGGACATTGATAATATCTATAAAAAAAACTGGCATATAACACTTAGTAAGCATCAATAAAATCGTTTGCTTTAGTAAGCATCAATAAAATTTACTTTCTAGACAAAAATGAACAGATGAAAAACAAGAGGTAGGAAAATAAGCATTCTTTAAAATAAAATGAACTTAACTGATTAGTGGTATTGCTTTATTATTTATTAATACCTACATGAGCAGATACTACACTACGTCTTTTTTGTGTATAATCTTATTTTATCCTCCTTTGAAGGAGCAAAGTTTCAGAGAAGCTACCTAAACTAGTCAAAGGACACATAGAACAACTGATATATACTACGTACACTACTGCCTAAAAAGAAACATGCTTTATCTTCAGTACTAACCACAGTTAATGATGATGGCTTAGAGAAATGGAATGAGAAATGTCAGTGCCAAACTCAGGGTATTTCTTATGAATTAATAAGCATTGATAAACTATAGAGCCTTATAGTAACAAGAGGGGATGGGCAGAGAAAACAATGGAATCATAAAAGCTATAAGGGTAAATTACTATTTATTGTAAGAAAAAATGTTGATTTCAGAAATGAGTTGATGCCTGTTAGGAAAAAATAATGAAAAGGAAATACTGCAAAACAGTAAAAATGGTCACCTTTTGGAAGTGAAAGTTTAGAATTCTTTCTTCTCTCAAAGCTGGTTTAAACATAGAGTTTAGAATTACTTATTATGAAAGTAATACAACCATTAAAGAGATATTTCCCAATCTCAGATAACTGATAGAAGCAGTAAAATCAAGTGTCCTTGGGTATGCGTGGTGTTCTCCTGCTATAACGGCCCCTTGCCATTAAGTTCTAACAACTTTTCCAAATATTGGGCACATGATGTGAAAGCATTGTCCTTACTACACATCAGTTTTTAAACAGCAATGATTTTCACTGCCTGCTGAAATAAGTGTTCACCAAAAAGAATAGAAGTGTATTCTCAAACCAAGATCCTGAGTAAATATCTATCCTCTCTCTGGGGTCTATCTTCCTCATCTGTAAAATGGTGTTAATCCCTATACTGCAGAGTTGTTAAGAAAAATACATAAAAAGTGCTTAGCCCAAGGACATGAGCATAACACTCAATATGGCTGTCACTTATATTATCGTATCATTATATTCATTACTATCATTGTCAACCATAACTAACCATAACCTTAAGGTGAGAGAATTCTACTTAGTCTCATTCACTAAAAAACTACAATTGGGTATGTATGTTCACTAAGTCAAAAAGTTTGGTTAGGTCAATGAATGATCTTTGGTGCAATTACCACATTTCTCTAAAACAGTAGATTCTCTCTGCTGTGTTACAATTCTGGGAACAGTCTGAAGTTCAGAAAATGATTTACAAGTTTAGTTCTAACATTTACCCACTCTACTCAATCTAATCACTAGGAATGAATGGTTCTTTCCCAATCGTTTAGCAAACAATAATTTTTGTTAGCTATAAAAGTGCCATTGGCCCACGACAATTTCTTCACCTCACCTGTTTCTAAAGCTTTCTCATCACAAAATTAAGAAGCAACTATATTCTAGAGTTCTCCTATAGGCACAACTTTCCCTTTTGTCTTAACAAAAATAAATAAGAACAAAGAAAAACCTGAAGTCTGGTTTTCTTTGATCTCTAGAGAATGCCTACATGACGGGATGTTTCAAGATTCCCTTCTAGAAAGAATTTGTAAAGTAGGTCTTGCTTCACTTTTCCAAGAAAAAAATCACTGAGAATGAACACTCAGACTTTCAGTTATTTGAATCTAATCTTACATTCTTGTACCCACTCTGTCTTATAAAAGATTTTCTTCAAAACTATCCAAAGCAATTTAGAAATGCCTACCTCAGCTTGACAGAGTGCATGAAGACCTTGTAATACCAAGGCTGCTGGAGTAGCTTGATCAGGCTTGGTGCATTCATTCAACACCTGAGAAATAGCTGCCAACATATCTGCACCATGTTGATATGGCCTACAAGAAATTAAAGTTTAAAAGCAAAATTAATGCTAAAGAGCAATTATCACTCCCAGATCTTTTGCCTAAACAAAAAGCATCCATCATTTTCTATACTCTTGTGCCACTAAATGGTGACCCTCAAATATTAATACCATGTTTTTTCTTCAAAAATGTGCATCATGATCATTTTCTGCTATAATTTTATGCTCATTTTTATACAGAAATAACCCAAAAAGACACTTAACAAATTTCATTCATCCTAAATCACAAATCCTCTTGTCTAAATTGAGAAAAACTCAAGGCTGTATTAATGGTAAAAAGAACTGAATTACCTAATTGAGATTATTGGTAAAGATAGAGCTATTCTTGCCTGATAGTATCAGATACTCATTACAAAAGCAGGAATTTGAGAACAGGAGATGATTTGTGCTAGTAGCAATACTAACTAGGGTGGCTGCACCTATCATAGTAATGATGATAATGATAAAAATTATAAAAACTATAACCAACTGAGCTCCTATCTCATACCAGACACTGTGCTAAATTCATTCACTCATCCTCCTACCCCTCCGCTCCTTTCTAATCCACATATATTGTGCTATCACCAGAATATCATTAATTTCACAGTTATGCAAGTCTATTCCCTGAATTCCTTGTTACCTTTCAATAATATCTTTTCTTTAATTAACAAAATGTAAATTGATGAAATTACCTGTCAGAATTCTATTGTTTCACTGTCCCACAAATGGAAATAATTTTCCAAAATGAAAAAATTGTACAGATCTGGAGGTAGTAACTGAAATGAATACTGAATAAGTTATCAGTAGACTCTGATCTGGTTTGATATTCAGTCTATTCTGAGCCTCAACTTTAATTATATAAAATAAGAATGTCAGCCAATAACTTTCACCTCTGAATTTTTTTCCATGCCAATAGCTCAATAAAATTCAAACTCCCAGTCCTTGGGTTATACATATGTAATTCCTTTTTTTTTTTTTTCTTTTACACTGAGGTCATTTTTGTGTTGCTAAAAGATGGAAGCTTAGAAAAGAGGCAAAATTGCTAGGGCTTAGTTTCTGTATATTCTGATCCAAATTTTACTTGAAACAGGAATCATCCATGTTATCAGCATCTTAGCCAATCCATTGCACAGCTTCAGAAAGTAGCATTCACACTGCTGTCATTAACAGAAGTGAGAATGATGTTACCAAGAATTCAACGCAGTGGCCTGATCAACAAATGAAACTGCAGGACTACAACTATTTCAAATGCATCAAGTCTATTTCCTCTGTAAACATTTTCATCTTAACACATGCAAGAAAATCAGTTTTGATATGGTAGAGCTCAACTTGTATTATTTCAGTCTTGTCACCTCCACCCTGTTTATTAATCCATAATCTAGAACAGCAGAGTCATCTTCCTAATTTCTTTATGTTTTCCTAAAAGCTTACAACATATATAAAAATTCATCATCATTTTCTTCCTTGTTATAATTAGAAATAATTCCACGCAGTAAGTCAAAAATAAGGGCTCCCCATTAAAACTACTTATCTCCCTACTTAAACCAAGGGAGAATATAAGAAAGAACAGTTTATGACAACAGTCTACTGTGTAGTTTTCAGGGATTCATATACGGAAAAATAGAAAACATAATATCACATGTTTTACTGCAATATTAAATTATTAATCAGAAAAGGATATAAATATCCTACAAACCTAGATACAAGACTAGACCTGAAAAGGAAAGGCACACTTCTCAAAGTTATTGTTCAATATTATTAAATTTTATAATCAGAAAACTTAAGATAAAAAATTATTACTACTCATATATTCTCTGCCTATCTTTTCTTGCCTCTTGCTTGCAATAAAAAAATTAAATACAAAATAATATATCATGATATACATTCCTAAGAGTTAACAACATCATACCTCTGCTTACATATATCTCTGATTGATGCTGCTTTTGCAATCAGTTTCTCCCATTGGACTTCCTTGCCCACCGAAAGAGAAGGTACATCAGACATAGCCATGAAACGCTGCAGTTCAGGATAGACTCGGTCCTACAAAAGCAATTTTACAAAAAAGGTAGTTTCCCAACTTGAGTTGAATAATCATCACCTTCCTTTTATGCAGCATTTTCACCTCCAAATCCTCCATTTGCATTGCAAATTATAATGTAGTTCTTCTAATCAGCAGAGAAGATTGCTGTAGTGATTACTGGGGATTTTCTTATAGACCAATGTACTGTTGATTTCATAAAACAAGAAGAAAGTGGCTAAATCTCACCCTAATTACAAAGGCTCTAATCATTTATATTTCCATTATTTCTCAAGCAAATGGAAAGATACATTTCAGAAATAAAGAAATAAGATTTTATATTCTCAATTTCTCTGAAAGTCAATAGCAACTAACTGCATTACAAATGCATCACAATAAATCAAAACCTTTTCAATGCAATCATTGGTGCCACTCATTAATACCACTAAACCAAAGCATTGCCATATATAACATAATTATTTTCCTTCAGTGAAAGGAATATATTTAATACTCATGCAAGTGTATATCTGAAATTACCTGCTTTTCCCACAATGATGTCAGCAAACGCAAAGTGACAGCTCTTAGTCGTGGGGTGGTTCCAAGTAGTTGTATTACTCGTAGAATTTGTCCTACACACACCTAGAAAATATTCAAGAAACTCTAGTTGTATAAACGTGAATGCAGACAACCTCGAGGTTACCAAAAGCATTTTTAAACCCCTTGTTATAAAATGAAGACTGAAAAGAAAGTTTGCTGCAATATTACCCACCTTCTTAAAGGATGAAAGATAGCGTTGGAGGGGCTAGATAGCAATCCCGGGGACATAAGGACCTAATCTCAGAAAATGGCCAAAGTGAAAACTTGGATACTAAGTAATTTAACAGAATTAATTATTAAACATTGTAATAAATACTTTTGTCTTCAGATATTACCTCCTAGCTCAACAAGAGAAGTAGTGATTATGGCAAAATTTAGGGCTCAAAATTTCATAATACTAAAAAGAATTCAATGTATTATTCATGACTCACTTTTCTCCCCAACTAAATTAATTAACATACTAACCTTGTGAACACCAAGTTTAGGTAAACTATACAATATATCATTATATAATATAGGTTCCAGTGGTCTTCCCAATTTGAACATCAAAACTGGAATCAGATTTGGCACCTAAAATAAATTTTTAAAATATATTACATATGCCTTGTTACAAAAAAGTAATACATAATGGAATATTTATCTTTTTTTCCAGAGGAATAATATGAATCTGAATGAATTGGAAGACTTAGAATATATCAGTTAGCTATTATTGGCTAATGATAATTTCATCACTAGTATTCTACCACTTTTATAATTAGCTGCCAAACACCAATCAAAAAGTGCTTTTCTTGAACAACTATAACATCACTTCTGAGAAATACGATAGCAGTTAAGATACGTCCTGCCTTGCCAAGCATGGTGGCCCACCCCTGTAATCCCAGCACTTTGAGAATCCAAGGCAGGAGGATTGCTTCAGTCCCGGAGTTGAAGGCCAGCCTGGGCAACACAGGAAGACCCTGTTGCTACAAAAAATTTTTTAATTAACTGGTCATGGTAGTGCACACCTGTAGCCCCCGCTACTTCGGAGGGTAAGGTGGGAGGATCACTTAATACTGGGAGCTCAACATGGCAGTGAGCCATGATTGCACCACTGCACTCCAGCCTAGATGACAGAGCAAGACCCTGTCTCAAAAAAATAAAAAGATATATCCTGCCTCAAATAAGTTTAAAGCTCTAATGAACAGCCAACACTTAAGATATGTAAACAATAAAATTTCACATAATGAAACATTCAATTAGGTTACTCCAGTAAGAAGTAATTAAAGTCAGTGTACTACAAAGGAGCCAATGGACAAAAATTTCCCTCTAAGTCCTCATTTCAATCTCTATGCATAACACAATAAAATGTGAAAACAAATATATTCATGGATCAGAAGACATAGCATTGTTAAGACATAATTATTTCCCAAATTGATCTTGAAATTAAATGCAATCTTTATCAAAATTCCACCTGGCTTCTTTGCAAAAATTGAGAAGCTGATCATAAATGCATGTGTAAAAGCAAGGAACCCTTAATACCCAAAATAATCCTGAAAAAGAAAAACAAATTTGAGGACTCAAACTTCTCACTTCCAAATTTACCACACAGCTAAAGTAATTAAAACGGTATGGTACTGGCATAAGATTAGAAAGACAAATCAATGAAATAGAATTCAGAGTCCAGAAATGAAAACTTACATTTATAATCAATTGGTTTTTGACAAGGCTCCCCAGAAAAAAACAATAAGGACAGAAGAGTCTCTTGGAGGAATAGTGCTGGAATTCAACAACTGGATACCCACATGCAAAAGAATCAAGTTGGACCCCTTTCTCACACAACATGTAAAAATTAACTCAAAATGGATTTTAGAACTAAATGTAAGAGCTAAAACTATAAAATTATTAAAGAAAATATAGGATTAAGTCTTTTTGACATTGGGGTAGAGAAAGCTCTTAGACATGACACCAAAAGTACAAGCCACAAAAGGAAAAATGAATTTCATCAACGCAAAAATGCTTGTCCTTCAAAAGACATTATAAAGAAAGTGAAAGAACAACGCACAGAATGGGAAAGAGTATTTGCAAACCATATAGCTAATAAGAGATTTGTACCTAGAATATATAAAGAACTCTTAAAACCCAATAATTGTGAAACCCCGCCTCTACTGAAAAATATTTGCCAGGCATGGTGGCAGGTGCCTGTAGCGTGAGGCTGAGGCAGGAGAATGGCATGAACCCAGGAGGAGGAGCTTGTAGTGAGTCGAGATCGCGCCACTGCACTCCAGCCTGGGTGACAGAGCGAGACTCCATCAAAATAAAAATAAAATAATAATAATAATAAAAAAACAATTTACCAAAAAAAAGGTTTTAAAATAGGCAAAGAATCTGAATACACCTTTCTCCAAAGAAGATAAACAAATGGCCAACACAGGAAAATATGATCAATTTCATCAGACGTGATAGAATGCAAATCAAAACCATGAGATACCACCTCACACATCATGCAAAAGCTATCATCAAAAGATAGACAATAATAAAAGTTGCCAAGTATGTGAAGAAATTGGAACCCTTTTACACTGCTGGTGGTAATGTAAAGTAGTTCAGGCCCTTTGGAAAACATTCTATCAGTTTCTTAAATGGTTAAACATAGAATTGCCATATGATCTAGCAATTCGATTCCTAGTTATCTGCTTAAGAAAAAAGAACACATATGTCCACACAAACTTCTGTAAATGAATTTTCAGAACAGCATTATTTACAATGGCCAAAAAGTGGAAACAACCCAATGCCCATCAACTGATGAATAAACAAACAAAATACAGTATAACCATACAACGGGATATTATTCAGCCATAAAAATAAATGAACTATTGTTACATACTACAACATGGATGAATCTTGGAAACATTACGCTAAGATTAAAAAAAAAACAGCCACAAAAGCCTCGTGTTGTATGATTTCACTTATATGAGTAGAAGGCCCAGAATAGGCAAATCCGTAGAGATAGAAAGTAGATTAGCGGTTGTCTAGGATAGGGGAAGTAAGAAGCAGGGTGTGGTCAGGGAGGGTGAAAAAACAGGCAGTGATATCTTATGGGCATGGGGTTTCTTTTGGGGGTAATGAAATGTTCTCAAATTGGTTGTGGTAATATTTACAAAACTCTGTAAATATAATAAAAGCCATTAAATTGTACACTCCAAATGGATGAATTATATGAGATGTAAATTATATTTTAATGGTTTTTTAAAATTCAATTCAAAATTATTTGCTAAATATCTACTATAATCAAAGCACTTACTTGATAGCACAAACTGTAATGTCAACAATTTTTATTTGCCATATGCTACATTTCAAAAGTTTGTTGTCCAGCAGTCATTCCTCAGTATCTACAGGGATTGGTTCCAGCACGGTCAGACACACAGATACGCACACCCCATTCCATGGATAGCGAAATCCAGAGATGCTCAAGCATGTTATATAAAATGGCACAGTATTTGCATATAACCTATGCACATTCTTCCATATACTTTAAACCATTTCAATACTACTTACAATGCCTAAAACAACATAAATGCTATGTAAATAGTTGTTGTACTATATTGTTTATTCATATTCTCTTTATTGTTAAATTGTTATTTTTATTTTCTTCCCCAAATATGCTCTGTCTGCAGTTGGTGAATCCACAGAGGAAAAACCAGCTGATGTCAAGGGCCCACTGTATTTGTTAATTTTCTCTATCTGTTCTATTCTTAGAAAGCCTGTTCCTTCTAAACTTAGAAGACATCTATTTTAATTCAATTTCAAAAGTGAAAAAATATCCTCTTAACTTTATCACCAAGACATTGACAATTAAACATTAATTCATTAATGACCCTGACCACGATACACCACAGCAGCATGTGGAGCTGTGTATGTAATAGCTACGATCTCACAACAGACAGCCAAAATGCATGATGTTTTTAACAAGTGCAGAGACTTGATTGGAAGAGAAATTCTATCACTCTCACCTTGGGCAAATGAAAGGAGACAAATTTTTGAACTGACTTTTCAGTTCCTATTTTAATTAAAAACAAACGGTTATCTTAAATTGGCTTACACTGATCTCAATGCATTATCCCCTTCTAGAGAGATTTCTACCAAGACACACTGACAGATTCTTAGTTTTCAGAAGGGCAATGAGTATATTTAGTGACATTTTATAAACTAGCGTATTTAGTTGTGTGACTTTCAAACAAATGTTGTAATTATAGTGTCAGGAGAGAAATAAAGTACTGTATTTATGTCTAAGACTACACAGTTCCTTTATGAGACTTGGCCCTAAAAAAAGTATGTAAGGGTGTGTCTTTTCCTCTGGCCAGTTCAGAAATAAACAAAGTAGGAAATGTTTACAGTAAATAATCTTAGACTTAACACAGTTCTCAAGGCATAGTAGCCCAAATTAAGTCCCCAATTAAATGGAAAAAATAAAACAGAGACTGTTTCACTAGGGAAAAACAGATACAGATAGATGTTTGTGGAAAATACTTTTTGCATAAAGGATGGGCTAATTTTTTTATTATTATTAATTAAATAATTATTTCCTTATGAATATATATTTACTTGAGATGCAATTACCAGCTCTTGATCCTCCTAATCTTGAATCTTATACCCTTCAGAGGCTGAAAATACAATGAATACTCGGATTTTACCTTTAATGTAAAAGAAGCTGGAAAGTGCCCTATAATTGATTGTCTCAAGATCTGGCTTCATATAACTCAATGTTTTCTCTTCGCTCCTCCAGAGTTCAAGTTCCTTGATAAACAAATTAATTAAGAATCACAGGACTGCTATGGGAGCCCCTATAAGACTATGACTAGATTTCTCAGCAGAAATCTTGCCAGCAAGAAGGGAGTGAAATGATATATTCAAAGTGCTGAAAGGTGTGGGCAGGAGTTAGTGGGCAGGTACTGCCAACGAAGACACTGGATATTATATCTGGTAAAACTATCCTTCAAAAATGAAGGAGAGGCCAGGTTCAGTGACTCATGCCTGTAATCCCAGCACTTTGGGAGGCCAAGGCGGGAGGATCACCTGAGATCAGGAGCTCGAGCCCAGTTGGGCCAACATGGTGAAATCCCATCTATACTAAAGAAAAATACAAAAATTAGCTGGGTATGGTGGTGCACGTCTGTCATCTCAGCTACTTAGGAGGCTGAGACACGAGAATTGCTTGAACCAGGAGGCAGAGGGTGCAGCAAGCTGAGGCTGTGCCACTGCACTCCAGCCTGGGCGACAAAGCAAGACTCTGTCTCAGAAAAAAAAAAAAAAAAAAAGAGAAATAATGATATTTCCAGATAAACAAAAGCTGAGAGAGTTCATCATCACTAAACATGCCTTACAAAAAATCTAAACGTAGTCCTGCAAGGTGAAACAGAAGGGCTCCAGACAGCAACACGAAAGCATATGGAAATATAAAGTTTCCTGGCAATATATAAACAAAGAATCCTATAATATTATAACAGTGGTGCGTGAATCACTTTTAATTCTGGTACAGGGTTTAGAAGGCAAAAGCATAAGTAACATAAAAAAAAAAAAACCCATGTAAATGGATG